TGAGCCTCAGCCAGCGCGACCGCCGGGTCCGCGCTCTGCGAACCGGTGGTCGTGTACACAGAGTGGGAAACAGCCCTGTGCGCTGCTTCTCTCTGCTCGTACTCCAGAACGACTTTGTGGCTCTCCTCCCAAGTCTGCGGTCCTCGCAACCCGCCATCCTTGGGGTCGCCAGGCCACAACCTTTTGTCGTTCCGGATCTCCTTTTGGAGATAAGGGGGCATCTTGCGGAGGTATGAGAGATACAACTCTCGAGGGGTCTTCCCGAGACCTACTGCCTCAAGGTCCGCGATCGAGGCCTCAAACAAAGGCTCGAATTGGTGGCCTGTGAGCTTATACCCTTAGCGAGAGAGGCGTGCTCACCATCCACGCGGACTTCTCTTTCCTCCCGCGATTCCCCGAACATCAAGCGTTTGTTCTTGATGCGGTCATACACCGCCTGTGGATCTGAGAGAACCTCTCCCGATTTCCACGCTGCGCGGTACGCGTTCGTGTACGTCTTCATGCGCGAGCCGCGGCAGCGCCCGCGTAGCGCTAACAGCTTTTCGCGCGCACTCATATGACAGTTGTTGGCCAGCGCGCAGACGTCCTCGAACTCCTCGTAGAACAGGACAACGTCTCGCGCGTCCGACTTGTCGTCGGTCAGCGTCGGCCACGTGAGGTCAGTTTTGACCGTAGTTATGGAGCTTTGCCCGCCCCTCTGCGCTAACGCTTCTTTCAGCGCCTCAGTTTGGGCGGCGAGTGCGGCGGCGAGATCGCCCGCCGGGTTGGGACCCGGTCTGCGAACCTCCGCCGTCTGAACCTCGCTTCAGGGCTTCTATCTCCATCTCTAGCGCAGCAAGCTTCGCGCGCAAAGGGGAATCGCCGTCCGTCGCGCCCAGGACACGGGCCGCGGAAGGACCACCTGCAACCTCAGCAGTGTGCAAACCTCCACGGTCCAATCCTACCCCCAACCCACTTGCAGTCGCAGGCTGTGGGAGCCCTGGGGAACGCGGCCCCACGGCTTCAACTGGCACATCGGACGGGGAGCTCCAAACCTTCTCTTGGCTCGAGCTTTCTTTTCCCCCTAACGCGAGGATAAGCTCCCCGATGCATTGGATTTCGCGCTGAATCTCCTCTGCGTCTTCGGGGTCCTCGCCACCGCGCAAAGCCGCGACCGAGAACCTGGTCCGCAGCCGACGGACCATCTTCGTAGGATGCCAGTCCCCGCCTATCTTGGAGAACTCATCCGCAAGGAGGGTGGCTTTGGTGCTTAAGGCGTCAAGGTCACGGGAGCTCACCGTGACTCCATGCGCTTTCAGCGCGAGGACAATCCGCGAAACGCGCGTCAAGTAGTCCGCGACCGGTTCTTGGTCTGGACGGAAAATCGCGCGCAGCTCCGCCTGCAAGCCCTCTGCGGTGCCTGGCACTGAACCTGCTGTCGACGGCGGACCGGACGGTCCCGCCGGGCGGGACCCTGGTGCCGTAGCAGGGACATAGGCAGCACCGGTAGGGACCATGGCCAGCGGCGCTGACGTCCACCCGCGGCGGACTGTCGCCTCCAGCGCCCGAGGCCTCAGGGACTAGCTCGGAGTCCTCTTCTTCTTCCTCTTCATCCTCGTCCTCCTCTTCGGCGTCATGGAGGAACTTCATGACTTTCCGCCAGAGAGCCGCCTCTTGCTCTGGCGTAGTGCTGACCCCATCCCGCTTGGACAATGGACGGCTGCCAGTCTCCCTACGCCACTTAAGCCAAGCGACGTAGCTCATCCGCTCGGGATAGGGAACGTCTCCACCCTCGATAGCTTCGAGGAGGGTGACGCCCTCAGCCTGACCTGCAACCTCTGCGGACATTGCCGCAACACAAGGCGAAAAGCCGCGCCTTGGTTAGCAGGCCGCAGGCGTGGCACGCGAAGCGCCGCGCCTTGGTTAACAGGCCGCAAGCGTGGCACACAGTCCACGCGTCCAGGTCACGGACCGCGACAGACAAGCAAAGCAATGCTTGCCCACTCGGGCCGTAGGCACAAGAGCTGTACGTTCCCAGAACAGCCCCCAATTGTGAAGTCGACCAGCACTGGACTTGCACTAAGCCAATGCAATCACAGCCCGGTCACGCTGTTTTACGACTTCGTGAGTCCAAGCACTTGTGCAGCTACGCCTGAGTGCGTCCGGTCGGACCGCACAGCAACCTAGGAGCTACTGTACGACTCTACCGTGCTCAAAGGCACAAGCTCGGTACTTGAGCCAAAATATTGGCATTGATACGAATTGCAAATCTACACATGCAAAGGAAAACTACAGTACTGGTTCTGGCAGCTCTGCACATGGAACGTGCGTGCTTAGACCTGCTCACAGATTACTACTACTACTACTACTACTCAACTACTATTACTACTACTAATACTACTACTACTACTACTACTACTACTACTACTACTACTACTACTACTACTACTACTACTACTACTACTACTACTACTACTACTACTACTACTATTGGAAGCGGCTGTGGTTGTGAGATAGAGACATGTCCGTTGCATTTTGCAGCATCATTGTAACAATCGGCAGACCGAGAGACTGCGCTAAGCCAAGCTTTACCCAAGTGGCCTGCTGTGGACGTTTCCCCTGGGGGTCCACTGGACCTTCTTCTAGTTGGGGGCTGTTCTGGGATGCCGTCTTCAAGAGGCTGCGCAGCCGGGCCTACGAGCTTAAGTGGCATCAGTCCTCGCCGAATTGACCCAGGCCGAAAAGGAAGATGTGGCGCTGGAGGCCGGGGAGCCAAGATAATTTGCTTCAGGAGTTGAAGCGCCGTGGTGTCACTGTTGCCACGTCGGAAGCAGCAGAGCTTTATCATCGAGCGGTTTGGTTCAGCTCATGCGCAAGTGGCATCTCCTCCTGTGCCACCCCCAGCAGCTGGCCCCGCTGTGGCCAGGGCTGTTGCTAAGAGCCGCGGAAGTCAGTCGGGGTTGACTCGCGAAGCCGTCGAGGGAGTTGAAGATCCCGAGTCCGGAGCCCCACTCGGAGACCTTGCTTTTAAGCGCGATGGACCCAGCAGACGAGTACGAGGTCCGACTCAGCCAGGGGTCGAGATGGCGCGAGCTGACCGCCGTGATGAGGCTCTTAGTTTCGCCGAAGGCATGTTGGGAGAGGCCCAGTACAGGACTGCCTATGCGCGCTTCCACAAGTTCGCTACCGATACAAAGTCCCAAGCGAATGGACCAGACATTGTGCTTCGTGGCATTGGCGCCGACATTTTAGGGCTCTTGCAGACCGGGAGCAGATCCCGTGGCGATCTATTATCGCTACGATGGAGCTGTTCGTGCTTACAAAGAGGCTGGAGGTACCGATGGGTCTGGCCGTGTTCAAGCACGTCTGCAGTCCTTGCGTGAACAGGCCGAGAATGCTCTCGACGCCCAGAGTTTACCTCCGAGTCCCGCAGGGTCTGTCCGAGCCTCTCAGGACTGGTTGTGGGGGAATCAGAATTGCGGTCTGGTGTCCCCATCTCGTTTTCGTCGTGGCGATCCTCCTGCTGCCGGTGCTGCGCGCCGAGGAAGAGACATGGGTCGCGTGCCAGAAAAGGATGTTGAGAGGAGTCGAAGTTCGGAGCGAAGACTATCCGTCAGGCGAGAAATCTGTGTTCACGTTCAGCCTGAAGGACGACTTGCCCATCTTTACGACCACTGCTACTACTACTACTACTACTACTACTACTACTACTACTACTACTACTACTACTTCTACTACTGCTACTACTACTACTACTACTACTACTACTACTACTACTACTACTACTACTACTACTACTACTACTACTACTACTACTACTACTACTACTACTACTACTACTACTACTACTACTCTTCCTCCTGCTGCTCCTGCTGCTGCTGCTGCTGCTGCTGCTGCTGCTGCTGCTGCTGCTGCGGCTGCTGCTGCTGCTGCTGCTGCTGCGGCTGCTGCTGCTGCTGCTGCTGCTGCTGCTAATGCTACTGCGACTGCGACTGCCACTGCTACTGCTAGAGGACGAGGCGTCGACGAGGAGGACGAGGAGGACAAGGAGGGGGAGGACGACCAGGACGACGATGAGGACGAGGACGAGGACGACGACAACGAGGACGATGGACGACGGACAATAGACAATGGGCGATGGGCGACAGACCACGGACGACGGACGACGACGGCCGACGATGAGGACGATGACGAGGACCACGACCAGGACGAGGACGAGGACGCGGATGCGGACGACGACGACGACCCAGGAGGAGGAGGAGGAGGAGGAGGAGGAGGAGAAGGAGGACGGTGCAGGCGGCGGCGGTGGCGGGGGGATTATATGCGCCCCTTCCCACCGCTTGCCGAACTGTGCGCTCTCCCGCTGTTGTTCGACTGATCTCGGTCGGATATTACGTGCATATCGCAGACGCTGATGCCATCGAAGAAGCAGGTGGAAAAAGCATCGCAGTCCGGCTTGAAGATCTTCAGCCCCCCTGGATAGAGCGTTTGTAGTCCAGTCCGATAAATTAGCTATAATGAACCTTGACCTGTCTGGCCGTCGAATTCCAGTTCAGTCGATTCCGCCTTCATCATTGCAAACGTTGCACTAGCCAGGCCGGCCCAAGCCGAGGGACGTGCGCGTCGGCGGTCCAAGCGATGCATGCGATGCACCATTGAACGCCTCGGTTCCCGTCCGCACGGGCTGCTACGGAAAGTGACCACATGATGAAAAGGACGCTGAGCAGATCTGAGCAGTAAACTTCGTAAACCAAACGTAAACCCGAAGCCTTGACAGCCTTCGATGCACTTGTGTTTGGTGTGGGCTTGTTTTCAAGTTGGGTAGGCCGCCCAGTGCAAAGTGGGGAGGTGGGGGATCCCCGGGAGTCCCAAGATCATGCCCGAGCCGGCATCTTGGGGTGTTGGAGCTTTGCAAGCTTGTGCCAGGCGCCGTTGCGAGCGTGTGAAGAGGTCACTTTGCTTCCGGGTGTCGCTGTCTAAGCTGCGTGCTTCTTGCAGTGCGTCCGAGTGGGCACGAGCAGGAAGAGGAGGAACGCGCAGGCTGGGCGGCTGGGCATGGTTTTTTTGATGTTCAGACAGAATATGGAAACGTGCCCCATTGCCAGAACCGACTGAGTTACCATCAAGCTGGGATCCCGGAGTGATGAATTGAACACTTGAGGTACACTGATGGACACTTGATGAGCACTTGAAGTGATGTCTTCACACGTGCAACACAACGGCATTTCCAGGATTTTCCACCAGCGCGCCCACGACGCGGCAGGACGGCCGTGAAAACGCAGAAGGTGTCGCTTGCAAACGCCGTGTACCCGAAGCTTAAATTCTGCGCCCCACCTACACCAAATTCTATCGACAGAGCGCGCTCGGGACATTGAGCTTGTTGCAGCGTTCTCCCATTCGGACTCAGCTGTCTTTGAATTTATAGCTGTGGAAAAGTGCAGCAAAACGGACCTCTGCTGTTTGGTCTTTTGGCAGCGTTGCCAGGTCAGAAAGCTGGTTCTGACCTTTTCCGGGGCAATGCTTCAGAAGATGGGGCATCCAGTTCTCTTCCGGTCAATGTGCTGACGGCCATCCGAAATTTCAGCAACGCACCTCGCTGCTAGAACTTTTCGCCAACTGAAAAAATCATTCGTAACCATGCTGCACAGAAAGTTTGCGTCTTGCGAGGCAGACCTGTCCAAGACAGAGCAGCAGCGAGCTCCTCAGCCGACAAGGGCCTGTCCAAGTCTCCTCTTTTTCTATTTGACGTCGTCTCTTCGTATCTTCAAGTTACGTCCGCAGTCTGTTCAGAAGGAGAAGTGCGAGAAGTGAGAATCGGAGTTTCTTGGACGACATCAAGGCGAAGTCTGTGCAGTCCACACACTGCCACACACCGTGCAGTGCTTGGGGGTCATGTGGTTGTATGGTCAGGCGCATCGGTTCCAGCTCAAGGTCCCGGATGCTGTCCAGGCCGAGCCGAGGCCATGGCGCCGTGGCGACGTAGAACCGTAGAACAGTTGGGATCAAGGGAATGAGGCCTCACTAGTCGTGATATGTCGTGATGTTCCGAATTCCTGCCACACAAGTGCCCGAAGGAGCAGCCAGAATCGGAGCTTCTTGGATGATATCAAGGCGCAGTCAGTGCCTAAAGGTCACCGAAAGCTCCCCGCAGACAGTTCAATACCCCACAAGCCAAGTTCTCGCAGTTCCGGCTGGGCGTCCCCACAACTTCGGCCCCGGGACCATGTACTCTGCGAGAAACGGGACCGGCCTGATGCTGCTGATGCTCGCCGGCTGGGGCTCGTCATGAGTCATGCCAGTCTTGGCAGCCACAATGTTGCATTGCGGGCGCCTACGGCCACCAGTAATTCTAACGCTGCGCGACCCGCCGCCTTGGCCCTGCCCAGCGCATCCGCGTGAGCGTAGTGGTTCCGCAGCGCCCAAGTCGCTGGACCCCAAGCAATAAGGGTTGGGTTTAGGGTTTAGGGTTCCGGGTTTATGGTTTAGGGTTTAGGGTTGAAGGTTAGTTTAGGGTTGAGGGCTTAGGCGGTTTAAGATTTTGGGTGTTTGGGTTGTTTAGAGTTCAAGGTTCAAGGTTCAGGGTCTGAAACCTGAAGAAAGTGGTGGGGCAAGTAGTGGGGCTAGTGGGGCAAGTGGGGCAAGTGGCATCCCCGAACCCCCTCCTCCTTCTTCAGGGTGTGGGGGAAACGGGGCGGGCAGATCTGCAAGGGCAAGTGGGGCAAGTGGCAAGTGGGGCAAGCGGGGCAAGCGGGGCAAGTGGCAGTGCCGTGACATGTCGTTGGAGTCTCCTCGAAAACAGGGCTTTCGCCCGTGACTCTCAAATCATGTGGTTGTATGGTCACGTGACTCACGTGGTCATGACAGGCGCATCGGTTCCAGCTCAAGGTCCCGGATGCTGTCCAGGCCGAGCCGAGGCCATGGCGCCGTGGCGACGTAGAACCGTAGAACAGTTGGGATCAAGGGAATGAGGCCTCACTAGTCGTGATATGTCGTGATGTTCCGAATTCCTGCCACACAAGTGCCCGAAGGAGCAGCCAGAATCGGAGCTTCTTGGATGATATCAAGGCGCAGTCAGTGCCTAAAGGTCACCGAAAGCTCCCCGCAGACAGTTCAATACCCCACAAGCCAAGTTCTCGCAGTTCCGGCTGGGCGTCCCCACAACTTCGGCCCCGGGACCATGTACTCTGCGAGAAACGGGACCGGCCTGATGCTGCTGATGCTCGCCGGCTGGGGCTCGTCATGAGTCATGCCAGTCTTGGCAGCCACAATGTTGCATTGCGGGCGCCTACGGCCACCAGTAATTCTAACGCTGCGCGACCCGCCGCCTTGGCCCTGCCCAGCGCATCCGCGTGAGCGTAGTGGTTCCGCAGCGCCCAAGTCGCTGGACCCCAAGCAATAAGGGTTGGGTTTAGGGTTTAGGGTTCCGGGTTTATGGTTTAGGGTTTAGGGTTGAAGGTTAGTTTAGGGTTGAGGGCTTAGGCGGTTTAAGATTTTGGGTGTTTGGGTTGTTTAGAGTTCAAGGTTCAAGGTTCAGCGTTCCCTAGTGCTCACACCAGTTTGCAAGGCAGGGGGATGGAGGAGGGGGGGGGGGGATGCTGGGGGGTGGGGGTGGGGGCGGGAAAAAGGCGGGGGTCGGGTGGGGCTTCAACTGGCCCTGGTCCTGGCGAATTCGTGGTCGCCTACATGGGTACGGCAAAGAAAGGCCCTCGGTGGATTGTCACTTGCTTTTCCGGAAGAGCTACCACTTGCCCCACTTGCCCCACTTGCCCCACTTGCTCCACTTGCCCCACTTCTGAAACCTGAAGAATTAGCAAGTGGGGCAAGTGGTGGGGCAAGTAGTGGGGCTAGTGGGGCAAGTGGGGCAAGTGGCATCCCCGAACCCCCTCCTCCTTCTTCAGGGTGTGGGGGAAACGGGGCGGGCAGATCTGCAAGGGCAAGTGGGGCAAGTGGGCAAGTCGGGGCAAGTGGCAGAAATCGCTTGGTGGCCCACACACGGGCAAGTGGGGCAAGTGGGGGCCATGCTATTCATCACTTCTTGTGCGCATGGCCCTTCCAGCGCCGTTCCTCACAGTCGTCAGCTGCTGCTCCTGCGTTCCGTGCTGTTCATGCAGACTTGCTCGACATAGATCGTGCCGTGACATGTCGTTGCAGTCTCCTCGAAAACAGGGCTTTCGCCCGCGACACTCAAATCATGTGGTTGTATGGTCACGTGACTCACGTGGTCATGACAGGCGCATCGGTTCCAGCTCAAGGTCCCGGATGCTGTCCAGGCCGAGCCGAGGCCATGGCGCCGTGGCGACGTAGAACTGTTGAACAGTTGGGATCGAGGGAATGAGGCCTCCAGTCGTGATGTTGTAGGTGCAAGTACCAAGGGTGCACCGGAGGGAAAGCCAGAAAAAAACCTTGCAGAAACTGGTGAAGTTGGTGTGGCCTTGCGCAGGACTCGAGCCTCCGGAGACGCTTTCACGCGCGCGCTGTCTGAGCGCTTGAAGAAGGTCTATGTTGCCACGCATGGAGAGGAGTCTGAGGAGTCTGAGGAGGAAGCCGATGCTGAATGGGAATAGTGGGAATAGCATGCAGACGTGCTCGGGTTTCACTTTGTGAAGCGGCGATGTTGCACGGAAAGAGTCTTGTCGTGCCGAATGTGCCTGGACCAATGAGATTTTCCGAGGGGCCGACCTCATTTGGAATTCACTGAGGTCTGAGTCAAATTCTGAGTGCTTCGCGGCTCAGACCTCAGGTCGGTTCTCGTGTGGGTCACGTTTCATGTAAATCCCAGTTCAATAATTCGAGCAGTTCTGATTTCATGTAGGCAAAATCAATGCAACGTAAAGGCTTAGTTTCACACAAAAGAGTCCTTCCAAAGAGCCTCTTTACTCTTTATTCATTTTTTCTGGTTATCGAGAGGGTGCGGACGCAGAGACGCAGAGATGCAGGGAGCGCCTCCGGCTCTCACTCTGGAGGGGGGGGTCCGGCGGGATCCCGCGTCCAAAGCGTGCGTGAGCGCTGAGTGACTGAGTGAGGTGGAGAATCGAAGAGCGAGAGGAGATGAGAAGGGGTTAAAAGAGTGTTAAAAGAGTGTTAAAAGTCAAGCCTTTTCCTTGGATTGCTCTTGTAGGCTTTCGTGGGAGCACTTTGACACCCGCGACGTTTTTGCACCCAGAGCCCTCCCAGCCCTATCGAGATGGGCTCAGATCCCATCCTTTTTCCGGGTGCACTGCGCATCCACGCCGTCATGAAAAAAGCTAGATTCTTTGCAACAAGGTGTTTTGTTGGAAAAAAAGACGCAAGCAGATTCTTCGCAAAAGAAGCGCTTTGTTCAAATAAAGTTGCCTGACTGGTCGGGTGCACTGCATGCGCGAAGGCGCGAGAAAATCATTTTTGCGCAAGAAGCGGCTTGTCAGAAGAGTTGTTGTTCGAAAAAAGTGGCTTCGCGGGTGCGCGGCACGAAGCCGTGATTGCTTGTCGCAGAGCTTTCCTGCACAGAGCAACAGCACGGAGCCGAGGTGCATCAGCCTCTGCCGCTTCACCCTCGCTTCCAACTCGAGAAGCTCGAGCCGAGCAGTTCTGAGTCGGCAAAGGGAGAAATGTGTGCAAGAGTGGGTCGGAAAGCACTGTGCAAGTGGTTCAGAATCGTTCAGAATGCTCAGTGTTCGCTAGCCACGAGGGGCCCAAGGGGAGAGGCTTGTGGCCTCCAGAGGAGCCGAGCCGAGACCCTGAGGCGCGAGTTTGAGCCGTGAAGAAAGCTTCAGAAACAAGGACTTTAACGAACTTCAACGAAGTTGTCGCTTTAAAAACACCATGGGCCTCAGGCCAGCACTGTTTCGAGTTTCCAGTAGACACTGCGCAAACTTCTCATCCGTCGCCTTGGCCCAAGGTGGAGTAGAGTTCTTAGAGTTCAATCAAACCATTGTTTCTCCTTTGTGGGAGGTTCTTGGGTGCATCGCCATCGTTTGCCCTCAGAAAATGTCGGGTAGCAGTGGAAAGTATTGGTTTTTACCACAAGAAAGGGTTTTCGGGGAACATGTTTCCGCTGGGAGGGTGTCTTGCGGGGTAAAAAAGCGCGAAAGAAATCGATGTTACATGTGAGTTACATGTGTCTGCAGACAAGGCGCCAACATCCTGGAACAAAACGCCTTTTTCTGTACTCACCCCGGCAGCAAGAAGTCTGCAGAAAGACTTGCTTGGCTGAACAGAATGGTCGCGGATGCAAAACTCGACGAAAGCTTTCACAATCGCTCCAAGGCCCGGCTGGTCACAGAGCGGACAATTGCGTCTGCGTGAGTCTACGTGCCCTCGCTGCTTGATCTCTCCAGCATCCCCTGCCCAAAGCACGCTTGAGAGAATTTGCGGCGCTCTCACAGAACTGGTCTCCGCTCACCATTTCGAAGACAGGCTACAAGCGTGTACTCGGCCTTGGTAATTATGGCCGGCTGTAGACTTAAAAGCTCTCTTGAGGCCAGTTCCACTGCCGATCGCTGAAAGCCTCCTTTGCGCTCGGGAGAGTTTGGGGCACGCGTCTTCAGGGACAGGGGACCGCGCAGCCTCAAGGCAATCAACTACGAGAAGTTTCTGGCTCTTCCAGAATGCAATGCCAAGCTCGGAACAGGTTCCGAGGAGTATTGGTGCCAGTGGGAGTGCAGAAAAATCATCAGGCACGTTGTTTGAAAGAGACTCTGTGTGGATGCCATCGTATCGGAGCGTTGTCAGCTGTGACAGTTCTGACAACAGTGGCCATGACAGTTGCAAAGACATCCACTGGGAAACACAAAGTCTCTAAGTCCCGCGTACTCCGATCTGGCGCAAGAGCCTACACAATGCCACCAAAGTCTCGGGTCACCAGCAGTACAGTAAAAACGCTGTATAAGAAAACGGTTTGTCGGCACTAGGGTACCCTAAGTTTCTAAATTTCCATTCACCTATGTACCCAAGGGGGATTCGAACTAGGGTAGTCTTGGTTTCTTAATTCGTTTCTTGAGGGAGGGGGGGGGGGGGTCTGCCCTTCAGAAGCTTCTCCGCGCGATCTAAGTAAAACCCTGCGCCCGCAAATCCTGAATCGGAAGCACCGGTCAGGTGGGGTCGGGTCAGAAGCGGGGGGGGGGGTCACGTTTTAGAGCTTTCCAGGGCTGAAATCTAGAAAGTGACGCCCGTGCGTTTTTGGGTAGGGTCAGGCCAGAAGCGTGGGGGAGTCACGTGTTAGAACGGTTCAAGGCTGAAATCTAGAAAGTGACTCCCGCGCGTTTTTGGGGTAGGGTCAGGCCAGAAGCACGGGGGTGTCACGTTTTGGAGCTTTCCAGGGCTGAAAACCTCTGTAATGTGACTCCCGCGCAGTTTTAGGGGTAGAGTCAGGCCAGAAGCGCGGGGGAGTCATGTGTTAGAGCTTTTCAGGGCTGAAAACCTCTGTAATGTGACTCCCGCGCGTTTTTGGGGTATAGAGTCAGGAGTGGGTCAGGCCAGAAGCGCGGGGGAGTCTCGTTTTAGAGATTTTCAGGGCGTATACGGTCAGGCCAGAAGCGCGGGGGAGTCACGTTTCAGAGCTTTCCAGGGCTGGAAACCTCTAGAATGTGACTCCCGCGCGTTTGTGGCGTAGGGTCAGGCCAGGTCACGTTTTGGAGCTTTCCAGGGCTGAAAACCTCCCGAAAAGCTCTTTTGGAGAGCTTCGTAGACGCGATATTAAGAAAGTATCGCCCCCAACACTAGGGTACCCAAGGTTTCTGCCCAGGTTTCTCAGCTAAAAGGCAACCGCAAATCGCCCAAAATCCCTGGATCTAGCAGTGGTTTTACATGGTTTTACTGTAGTTGCGGCAGGCAGTGTTCCATCCAAGTAGCTCATGAGGGGAAAGAAGGTGTATGCACGTGTGCAGCGTCGTCCACATCACGGGCAACCAGTGATACAAAGAACGGTGCAAAAGGAGAAGGCATGCCGTGAAGATGGCGGAAAGTCCAAGCACGCAGCACTTTCTAAAGTCTTAAAGTCTTAAAGTCTTAAAGTCTTAAAGTCTTAAAGTCTTAAAGTCTTAAAGTCTTACAGTCTTAAAGTCTTAAGGTCCTCCTTTCGGAGCAGCGTGTGCCGTCCCACTCGACCACTCCCGGCGGATTTGCTGCTTCGGTTTGAGGGCTGAAGGGAGGTGAATGTTAAAGGTCAAGGCGTTAGGGTTAGTCTTTGTTTAGGCAAAATTCTTAAGACCTTGTTCTTCCGCATCTGCGAAAGCGCAGCCACATGACGACAGAGCTGGACAGCCCGCTGACTGCATGTACAGTGGTGTGTGTGTGTGCGCACACGGACGCACTCTTCATACAAAACTGGACATGTGGGGCCATCCGGTCCTTTAACTTTAAAGGGTCCCAGTCGTTGGGGTTTTATGAGGGGAGAAAAATCCAGAATGGAGATCGGAGTGCTTGCGAGCATGGGTTCAAGCATATTGCCGTAGTGCTGTTAATAAGCGCGTCTGCATGCAAAGGGGGGGCTTTTGGGCAACGCTTGTTGTCAACCCCCCGGCGCACGTGTTTTGCAACATTAGCGATGGTTGGCGCCATTAGCGCGTGGAGTTTGGGAAGATGTTGAGAATGAGGCAATGAGCGATTTCGGTCTTTTTTCTTGGTGTGTGTGTGTACGTGCCCATTCGCCTTTCGCCATTCTCGTATCGCACCTCAAGCTCGTCTCGGCATTTTCTGGTGCCATGCACAAACGGGTTCTTTCGAGAAAGCCGGTGTTCACTGAGGGCCTTGGCTTGGGATGAAGGGTCCACGATGAAAGTGGCGACGGCGCAAGAAGGCGGCATTCGCAAGGTTGACAGAAAATCTGTGAGAGTGTAGTCAGGGCGGAATTGTTGTGAGTATGCGTCGCTTTGTTGAGCCAGGCGACTATGAGACGTACAACTCAAACTCCAATTTCAACGTCGACCGTTTCAAGCCATTCGCACAGGCCGGACTGCATTTTCTCGCCCTTTCTTGCCTTTTCGACACACAAGGCAGTGACGAATTTTGTCTCACAACCCCAAGAGCCCACTACTGGCTAGATTTGTCTTTCAGGAAGTAAAGGGCGCAGCAAGGGCACATCCATTTTGTTGTGGCAGGTGCAGTTTGGAAAAGCCGCCGACTTCTCAAGAGGCCTCAGCTCTTCTCTCTCCTCTTCGAGCATTCTTTGAGCCCAATCCCAGCCCAGTTTGTAGCTCAGCAGCTTCAGGTCTCTTCAAGCACGTCGCCTCGCATGACTTGCGAAACATCCTGGTGCTGAATGTCTCCCGCGCGTCTGCAAACCCAGAGATGTCCAGATCCACGGATTCCCAAAGCACGACAGTCCGACAGCATGGCAACATGTCCGAGATTGTCCGAGGGTAAACCGAATCATGCAAAGCCCGCAAAAGCCTGCAAAGCCGAAGCCGTGGCAAAGCGTTGTGTTGTCGTGCACCAGTTCGAGGCCCCTCCGCCCTGATGATCTCGAAACAATCTGCACGGCCGCTGTGACAAACGTGCATGTGCACTGCTTCGAGCACCCCAACGGTCGAAGCTTGAATCGAGGTGGCCTCAAGCCTCATGCGCATCGATGCAAGCCGGTGCAGCC